GATGTGATTTGTTTTGGTCCGGTCTGTTCTCTACTCTGTTGGCCATTTTAGTTAGCTTCTGCTGCTATTTGTATCTGTATTTCTATTTTATGTTTTCCTGTCCGCTGTGCATGTTTGTTTTCTTTTGTACAGCACTTTGGTTGGCCTTGTTGCTGTTTTAAGTGCTCTATAAATAAATTGGTATGGTATGATATGGTATTTATCTGAGGAGCAGACTGCTTTGAATTTAACTCCATTGCAGAACTCTCATCTTGAGCATAAAGGCGACAGTAGAAAGGAAAAACTCCCTCATTAGGAAGAAACCTTTAGCAGAACCAGGCTCAGGACAAGTAGCCATCTGTTTCAACTAGCTGGGTTTGAGAGGAACAGATACACAATGGCAGGCCAAGAATCACGTTAAGATAGAAATAGTATCAAATGATAACTATTCAATTTTAACAATTCATTTAAGGAAATTAGGTCAATTTGTCCTCAGTAGTCTTAGCCTATGACAAGCCAACCCTAATTATAGGATTTATCAAAAAGGAAACTGGACAATGTGTCAGTTTTACGGACAGAAACTGGAAGTTGGTTCCACAAGAGAGGAGCCTGATAACTGAAAGATCTTCCTCCCATTCTGCTTGTGGAAACTTTAGGGACCACTAGTAAGCCTGCAGTCTGAGAGCAAAGTGCTCTGTTAGGAAAATATGGAACAATAAGATCTCAAATATAAGATGGAGCTAGGTTGTTGAGAGCTTTGTAGGTTAGAAGTAAGATTTTGAATTCAATTCTGGATTTGACAGGGAGCCAATGGAGAGAAACTAAAACTGGAGAAATATGATCTCTCCTACTAACTCCAGTTAAGACTCTGGCAGCAGCATTTTGGATCAACTGAAGACTTTTGAAAGAAGTATTTGGACACCCAGATAACAAACCATTGCAATAGTCCAGTCTAGACGTGACAAATGCATGAACCAGTTTTTCTGCATCATTTTTAGATAAGATGCTTCTAATTTTAGCAATATTATGCAGGTGGAAGAAGGTGGTTCTAGTAACGTTTTT